TGGGATAGGAGGCTTCCACTGGAGTTGCGGAAGCCATAGTTTTCAAAGGCATGAACCTTGTGACCTCATACTAGTCCCCAGTTTTTCTTTCTGTCATCTGTCAATTTACACCATTAAATTGATGAATTAGGTCAGAATTTCACAATTCATTTACATGGAAATGGTTGGATCTACCAGTTGGTATAAAACTTTTCACAATGTACATTTGGTTGGACAATTCCAACCGAATTATAAATTGAAGTAAATGCTTATTGAGATAACACTGAGAACTGAATCTATAATTTGCATACATGTAGAACTGAACAACCTGAACATATAACAAAAATGATAAAAGTACAAAACAACCATACAATATTCTTAGAATATTGTAACCATTGATAATTCCCTGCACGAAACTAAGCATAGATATTAGCCACCTGAAGCATGTGGAGCCTTCATTCAAGGTGCAGACAGCAGTGGGTTTCAAGTCTGATTAGATCATTCTCAGTTCTCATCTGTCACACTTGCTCAGAAAGTCTTCAGTGATCTTTGATCATGGTTGTGGACACAAATAGGACAGACCACGGCCTTCAAAACTAATCTGCTGCTATTTGTGTTTCTGTAGGACAGACTTCAGCATTTATTATGTGGTTGGGCATATGTTTAGTCAAGTGACTGTGTAGAAAAAGTATACAATTATAACATGTGTCTCACATCAAAGATGTCAGCAGCCTGACAGGTTAGAAGCTTAATGTGAAGATTACTTTTCTTTAGACATCTGTATCATCTAGTGACATGTGGTTCTTTGATTTCACTATTAATTATCTGTGGCTGAGGAGCAAATGACCATTAGTTTAGAGTCTCATTAGTAGCCATACTTTTAAGTCACAAGTCTGATGACCATGTGACTGGGATTTTGGCTCTTATTCTTTCCATGTCTAAATTGAGAAGTCGGGCATGGTTTGAAACATGGCCTCCTTCCTCTCCAAAGCCATCATAGAAGACTGCTCTTTACATGAAGTCATGTTCATATCATAAGCCTTCCTGATATGATCTAGGTTCTGAGGGATCATGTGATTAGATCACTTTCATAATCTCTCTCTTAAAGTCCTCTTCTATCATTATAGCTACAAAATTCTTTTGTTTAAAAAAAGTTACTGTCTTCTTTCTTCTTTATTTCTTTCCTTTTAAAATTGTTTTATTTATTTACATTACAAATAATTCTCCCTCCCTGGTCTCCCCTCCAAGAGTTCTTGACCCCCTCAACTCTCCCCTTTGCCTCTGAGAGGGTGCTCCCCAACCCACCCCCTCCTCTACCACTCTACCCATTTTCCCTATATCCCCCTTCCCTAGGACATCAAGTTTCTACAGGGTTAGGAGTATCCTTTCTCACTGAGGCCAGACAAGGCAACTTTTTACTACATATATGTTGAGGGGCTGGAGATTTCCTTCTAGTATCCTGTGTAGGGCTAGATTAGTGGAAAGATATTGTTTACATTTGGTTTTGTCATGGAATATCTTGGTTTCTCCAACTATGGTTATTGAAAGTTTTGCTGAGTATAGCAGCCTGGGCTGGCATCTGTGTTCTCTTAGGGTCTACATGACATCTGTCCAGGATCTTCTGGCTTTTATAGTCTCTGGTGAGAAGTCTGGTGTAATTCTGACAGATCTGTTTTTATATGTTACTTGGCCCTTTTCTCTTACATCTTTCAATATTCTTTATTTGTTCTTCACATTTAGTTTTTTGGTTATTATATGTCTGGAGCATTTTCTTTTCTGTTCCAATCTAGTTGGTGTTCTGTAGGCTTCTTGTAAATTTATGGTCATCTCTTTCTTTAACTCACCAAAGTTTTCTTCTATGATTTTGTCGAAGATGTTTGCTAGCTCTTTGAACTGAGAATCTTCTTCTGTTCCTATTATTCTTAGGTTCTTTTCATTGTGTCCCAAGTTTTCTGGATGTTTTATGTTAGAAACTTTTTACTATTTGTATTTTCTTTGACTGTTGTGTCTATAAGTTCTATGGTATCTTCTATGCCTGAGATCTTCTCTTTCATCTCTTGTAACCTGTTGTTGATACTTGCATCAGTCAGTTCCTGATCTCATTCCTAGATTTTCCATTTCCAGGGTTTCTTTCATTTGTGATTTCTTTATTGTTTCTATTTCCATTTTTTTTAAGTCTTGTACTACTTTTTTCAATTCCTTCACCTGTTTGGTTGTATTTTCCTGTATTTCTTGAAAGGATTTATATGTCCCCTCTTTAAGAGCTTCTATTTGTTTGCCTGAGTTTTTTATGTATTTCTTTAAGGAACTTGTTTATATCCTCTTTAAAGGCCTCTTTCATCTTCATGAGGTGGGATTTTAGGTCAGAATCTTGTTCTTTGGGTTTGTTAGGGTATTCAGGACTTGCTGTGGTAGGAAAACTGGGTTCTGATGGTGTCAAATTATATAAGCTTCTATTGAATATGTTCTTGTGTTTACTTTTTGAGATCTGGTTATCGATGATGTTAAATGGTCTGGTATCTTAGACTGGATCAGGTCTCCTTTGATATAGTTAGAGCTGTGTGACATGGAGCAGGCCTTTTGGCAAGCAGGCAGTGCTTTCTCTGTTTAGGGCAGGCCTCTTCTGTTCCTGGTTAAAGCAGACATCCTGTTTCCCTATGTCCCTGTTTATCTGGTTAGGGCAGACCTCCTGGGACACAGGCTGGCTGTGGAGTCCAGGAGCAGCAGGCATGTGGATCTGTGTACTTGGTTATGGAAGACCTCCTTGGAGCTAGGAAGGCTGGGTGAGGGAGGCAACATACTAAACTGTCACAGGTTCAGGTGGAGGTTTAGAGTGGGAGGTGATGGGGGTCAGACGGTGTGAGGTAAATCCCATGACTGCTGGTCTCTGAGGTGTCCCAGCTGGTATTGAGGTGAGGGTCTCACCTGTGTTCCTACTTATGGCAGACCACCTTTGAGGCAGGTAGGCTGTGAGGGCCTGTAAGGGGCAGGTTCACTGATATCTCCAAGTTTCTGAAACCTTTGCTGGTCTCCTCTGTTTTCACCATCCAAGGCTCTTAGTTCTATTCACATGTGAGCAGATCTGACTAAAAAATAGAAAATCTGAGATGTTCTAGGGCTACTGGGCCACTGTGCTGCTGAATGCTGACTCTTGGAGGAACACTGTAGCCAGGAAACTGCATCTGAAGAAAGTTTCCTGGGAGAATGGGTTTCTATTTGATCTCTCAAATGGCCCTTAGTGCTACCTATCTTCCTATATTATCTCTCTTATCTTCCTCTTTGAACATGGAGGACTTATACTGGTGCCTTCATGCCTACTGACTAGTGCTCATGTTACAGAAAGATGTGTCACATTCTACCAGAGTAGAAAGGTAACCCAATTAGAAACCCTGTGATCTTCTGTCCAATTGGATTTAATGCTCTCTTCAAGAGATGCAACCCAAGCCAGACACTGCTCAGGTGGCCAAGAAACTGAAACTAGATAGACAGTTGTATAAAGTAGATGTAAAAAATTATATATTTAATGCAATATAAAAGTGAAATGCATACTAGTTAAATGTCTACTTGACTTTCAATAATATTATTGACTCAATGTTAAATTTTAATATTGGATAAATACTTTGCTTTGGATAGATAATGCCATGAGCTGCCTTATAACTAATTGACTAATAATACACATTGTGAGTGATTGTGTCCCTGTATAGACCAGACTGGCCTAGAACTTATTATGTATACAAGGCTGGTCTCATGATCCTGCTGTTTATATTTCCCAATTTTTGGTATTATAGATGGGAATCTCCATTCCTTTCCATAGAATAATTTTATTTATTTATTTTTTTGTTTCTTTTACTTTTTACATAACATTGTATCTATATTTTACTTTCACACACACACACGCATATGCACACACATATATTCATAATTCAATAACTATAAATCTTGGATGGTTATTTGATTTCTTTTATTGCTATAATAAATAATTATAATTCATTCATACTTAACTTTTTTCTTTTGGATGGCAACTATCTCTGATGTTGGGTTCTTTTGGTATGGTAAATTTATTTCTTGATTTAAGAAGGCTGCAACCTTTCTGGAGAGTTTTTTTCTAACCTGTTTACTATGTCAGCAAGACCATCATAACCTAGTTACAATACTGATATGTTTTAAATTGTCCTAGAATATATATTAATACTCTTACAATTTTGGTCTACAGTCATGATTTTATAATTTTATGAAGAAATCTAGACTGTTTAATTACCTTTGCATTCTCCCAATTTAGAACTCTGTTTCAGTTCCATAAAGTGGAAGAAAATACTTGTTAGTTTCTGCTAGGTTTACATTTACCTTGAGATTAAAGCTTCTTATGTGCCAGGATTAAATTATTGTCTCCCATGATTTACACAGAATGAATGCTGAGCTTCTTTTCTCATCTTAGTCTCACTTTTCGGCTAGAGACAGAATTCTGAGAAACTGTTCACAGGCCTCAAAGTGGGTGGCTTAGGAGACAGGAGATACTGAACAGATTTAGCTCCTATTTCCTCTTTTATTTTTTCATTTTCTCTTTCCCAGCCTCTACCTCTATTATCTGTTATTGCATGTTTTCTTCTTCTATGTTTCTTTTGTTGTTTTGTGATATTTTTTTAATAATCACCCTAGGAATGTCAATCTGAGGTAGCTCTTCTCAAAAGTTAACTGATTTAAATGTATTGGACTTTAACCGAATGCTGCTGTTAGAGCACCTAGTGCATTTCTGTTGAAGAGGTGTAAGCTGATGTCTGGTGAGAAATTTAAAAGTATTATCATCAGTTTAGAGTCACATCTTTTTATATAAGAAATTTACAATGTGTGCAAGTGTGGAATACTTCTTCCATACTAACACTCTGACAATATGACATTACAAGGACTTTTGACAAATTTCAGCTGTTATTACAATCTATGTTTGTATATATATGCATGTTCACTGTCTACTCATTATTTCAGGTACCTGTGGGGACATTTTGATGACTCAGTCTCCATCCTCTATGGCTGTGTTGGCTGGAGAGAGGGTCACTATGAGCTGCAAGTCCAGTCAGAATCTTTTATACAGTTCAAACCAAAAGAACTACTTGGCCTGGTACCAGCAGAAACCAGGACAGTCTCCTAAACTTCTGATATACTGGGCATCCACTAGAGAATCTGGGGTCCCCAATCGCTTCACAGGCAGTGGATCTGGGACAGATTTCACTCTCACTATCAACAGTGTGCAGGCTGAAGACCTGGCAGTTTATTACTGTCTGCAATATTACAATTTTCCCACAGTGTTTCAGCCTCCTACAAAAACCTCCTTGAGAGTCTCATCAGCTGCCTGCGTAACACAATGCCCTAGATCTGCACATTTCCTCCTTCTACATGAGAGCCAGCATGCCTGAAATACAAGAAAAATTTTGCAGAACCCAGGAAAAGTAATGAGTTCACCATATCTTATGGTTTCTTTTTTGGGGGAGGGGATATGAAAAACCTTTGTATAAAAATCCAAAAATGAACTCAGTATTATCTTTCTATTCCTTGTGTAACACATTACCACAAATTCTTTTTCTTGAATATGAGAGGTTCAAATTTTTATAGTGCTGGAGTTCTGGTATTCAACATGAGATTCTATGGGCTGAAGTGATGGTGTTGATAAACAGCACTTCAGATTGGAGGTACTAGGAAACAATGTTTCTTTTTGTTTCTTTTGTTTTTGTTTTTATTTGTCTAGCTTCTAGAGTACTTTCTTACTTCATTACCTATAAACCACTTCTTTATTTTTCATTTTTTTTACTGCTTCATTAATTCTTACTTCTTTTGTACTTGTATACACACATAGGTACACAAATTGCCTTGGAACCTTTGTGGAAAATCAACTTGCACTTGATTTTTTTGTTTTTGTCATGTTGGTTCTTGGGATCAAACTCAGTTCTGATGTCAGGCTTTGTGGCAATTATCTTTGCCCTCTGAGCAGTCTTGCTGTCTCTTAAGTTTGTCTAGTAACATATAGTCATTATATACAAATCTTTGCCCTCTGAGCAGTCTTGCTGTCTCTTAAGTTTGTCTAGTAACATATAGTCATTATATACAAATTTCATAAAAGCAATGTCTTTCAAGTATGTCTTATATTTTGACTACATTAAATAACTGTCCTCATTTTTTTTGCTTTCTTCCTGTTACCTTTTCTTTTACCCTAGTCTGTACATAAATACATATGCACACCACACCTATTGACATATACAAATACACACATTCATTCATATACATGTGCAAATACAGAGATGTACCCACATATACATGTACACACACAGAGTTAACACACAATACATTTAGGATCCACAGAGAAAAGAAAATGTGATATTTATTGTCCCTATTTTTGGTGCCACATCTCTGTCTAAAGTCATCTTGTATGCTTTCCAACTGTGAAGACTGAAAAACCACTTTGCTTCTCTGTAAACAATATGCTAACTAATATAATCAGTATTCTCATTAAGAAACTTATTGATTTCCTATTTTGGAGATATACCAGGGGAAAACTGCCTTATAGAGTACATAATATTGCTGGAAGATCTCCAAATATCTTTAAACTATCTGCATAGAAATCAGTGTGTCGCCGGGCAGTGGTGGCGCACACCTTTAATCCCAGCACTTGGGAGGCAGAGGCAGGTGGATTTCTGAGTTCGAGGCCAGCCTGGTCTACAGAGTGATTTCCAGGACAGCCAGAGCTACACAGAGAAATCCTGTCTCGAAAAACCAAAAAAGAAAAAAGAAAGAAAGAAAGGAAGGAAGGAAGGAAGGAAGGAAGGAAGGAAGGAAGGAAGGAAAGAAATCAGTGTGTCCAAACTTGCACAATGTGCCTGTGCCTAGGAAAATAGCTATTTCAGGTATTTCCTTAAGACAATCTTGAAGTGACGTATTTAGTTTTTTCTTCAATGTGACAACACATTGGAGAAAAGCAACTTAACGATTTATTTTAGCTCAAGGTTTCTGTTTCAGGCCAAGGTATGCTGGCATCCTTACTGTGGACATAAATGAGGGTGAATATTATAGAGGAAGAATATCTGGGAGAAAGCAGCTCTCCTTATGGTAGCTGAGAAGCAGAGTGAGGTAGGAAGATGCCAGGGACAAGATACAGTCTTTAGAAACAATCCCCTCGATCCTCAATTAGCACAGACCTCTTACTTTCCACCATGTCCCAACATGTCCCAGTAATGCCATTTAATTATGAATAATCAATGGATGAATTCAGTAATTCAGTCAGTGTCATCATGATTAATTTACTTTCAAAAGTTGGATCCATATTCTGGGAACCAAATGCTTTAACTGGTAACCTTTTCAGAAACAATGCAGAAACAAACCATAATCCCAAAATGGCAAGTGGATTCATGATTGAAATAAAGGTAGAATTGGAGATTAAGAATATCCAACATGAATTATAAAGACCAGAGTTTATAGCAAAGCAAATTTATATGTATGAACATAGTTATTTAGAAGTAATATGATGGCCTTCCAGTCTGTGCCTGTGCCTGGAGTAATTCTAGGACATCAGCTCTGCACCCAATCCCCCAAAACCCAGAGAAGGTAAAATGCCCAGGAGCTCTAACATGCTAAGGATTGTAGGACTCTACAGATACAAGAAAACTAAAATAATCCCATGCATCCTATCAATCACCGTAGACTAAGGCTGGTCTTCAATAACAACAAAATCAATGGAAAGCTCACATACTCTTGGAAACTGAACAATGCTCTAATCAATGATAACTTGGTCAGGGAACAAATAAAGAAAGAAGTTAAAGACTTTTTAGAATTTAATGAAAATGAAGACATGTCATACTAAAATTTGTGGGAAAAATGAAAGCAGTGCGAAGAGGAAATCTCATAGCTCTAAGTGCCTACAAAAAAAAAAAATAAAAAGCTCGAAAGAGCAAGCACTAGCAGCTTGACAGTACACCTGAATGTTCTAGAACAAAAAGAAGCAAATACACCCAAGTATAAGTAGTGCATGGCAGGAAATAATCAAAATCAGGGCTGAAATCAACCAAATAGAAACAAAAAGAATTATTTAGAATCAAGAAAACTGGAAGCTGGTTCTTTGAGAAAATCAACAAGATAGAAAAACCCTTAGCCAGACTAACCAGAGGGCACAGAGAGAGTATCCAAATTAATAAAATCAGAACTTAAAAGGGAGACATAACAACAGTAACTGGGGAAATTCAAAAAAATCATCAGATCCTACTACAAAAACCTGTACTCAACAAAACTGGAAAATCTGGATGAAGTGGACAATTTTCTAGAGAGATAGAAGGTACCAAAGTTAAATCAGGAGCAGATAAACCATCTAAATGGTCCTATAACACCTAAAGAAATAGCAGCAGTAATTAAAAGTCTCCCCACCAAAAAAAAAAAAAAAAGCCCAAGGCCAGATGGTTTTAGTGCAGAATTCTATCAGACCTACCAAGAAGACCTAATACCAATTCTCTAAATACTATTCCACAAAATAGAAACAGAAGGAACACTACCCAATTTATTCTAGGAAAACACAATTATGCTCATACCTAAACCACACAGACACAACAAAGAGAACTTCTGACCAGTCTCTCTTATGAATATTGATGCAAAAATATTCAATAAAATTTTCACAAAGCAAATCCAAGAACACATCAAAATAATCATCCACCATGATCAAGTAAGAATTCAGGGATAGTTCAATATATGGAAATCCATCATTGTAATCCATTATATAAACAAACTCAAAGAAAAAAACCACATGATCATATCACTAGATGCTGAGAAAGCATTTGACAAAATTCAGCACCCCTTCATGGTAAATGCTTTGGAAAGAACAGGAATTCAAGGTCCATACCAAACCTAGTAAAAGCAATATACAGCAAGCCAAACTAAATGGAGAGAAACTTCAAGCAATCCCACAAAGATCAGGGACTAGACAAGGCTGCCTACTTTCTCCCTACCTATTCAATATAGTATTAGAAGTCCTAACCAGAGCAACTGGACAACAAAAGGAAGTCAAAAGGATACAAATAGGAAAGAAAGAAGTCAAAATATCACTATTTGCAGATGATCGGATAGAATACTTAAGTGACTGCAAAACTTCCACCAGAGAACTCTTAAACCTAGTAAACAACTTCAGCAAAGTGACTGGATATAAAATTAAGGCAAACAAATCAGTAGCCTTCCTCTACTTAAAGGATTAGCAGGCTGAGAAAGAAATTAGGGAAATGACACCCTTTACAATAGTCACAATTGAAATAAAATATCTTGGTGTGAATCTAACCAAGCAGGTTAAAGATCTGTATGACAAGAACTTCAAGTCTCTGAAGAAAGTAATTGAAGATCTCAGAAGATAGAAAGATATCTCATGCTCATGGATTGGCAGGAAATAATATAGTCAAAATGGCCATCTTGCCAAGAGCAATATACAGATTCAATGCAATCTCCATGAAAATTCAAACTCAGTTCTTTACAGAGTTAGAAAGAGCAATTTGCAAATTCATTTGGTATAACAAAAAGTCCAGGATAGTGAAAACTATTCTCAACAATAAAAGAACTTCTGGAGGAACCACCATCCCTGACCTCAACTTGTACTATAGAGTGATAGTGATAAAAAACTGTATGGTATTTGTACAGAGATAGGCACAAAGATCAATGGAATATAATTGAAGACACAGAAATGAATCCACACACCTATGATATTTAAGGAAAAGAACATTCTCAATAAGACAAAACAGCAACCAACAGATTGAGGAAAGATCTTTATCAATCCTATATATGACAGAGGGCTAGTATCCAACATATACAAAGAACTTAAGTAGTTAGACTCCAGGGAGCCAAATAACCCTATTAAAAATGGGGTAGAAATCTAAACAAATAATTCTCAACTGAGGAATCTTGAGTGGCCAAGAAGCACCTAAAGAAATGTTCAACATCCTTAGTCATTATAGAAAAACAAATCCAAAGGACCCTGAGATTCTACCTCTCGCCAATAAGAAAAAGGGACAGAAGTCTTGGTTTGGATCTTTAAAGCATGGTTTTTATAAGATTGAACTTAAAATACCATAAACTTCATTATATCTTTAATATGATTTATGTATTTGAGTTCCTACATACAATTATTCATGCACACACACATATTTATATAATTTTTTAATATACAGACATGTTTCTCTTGTCTAGAGAGTATAATTTATAAGAAACATGTATTATGGAGTGAACGCAATTATTTCTTTAAGCATTATGACCCTACAGAGCCAACCTAGAAGGACTTCAGTAGCAGGAGTTGGAATTGGAATAATCCTTTAAGTTTTCGTTGTTGTTGTTGTTGTTGCTTTAGTTGTTGCTGTTAAAATCTTCCCATCTCAAAATGTTAACTTTCTATCTTGGAATGAGCTACATATTATATTGAAACTATCAAAATTAAAACAACTTGATTCGTTAAAATCATAACATAAGCACCTTTTCAGACCAGAGAAGCTGAGCCCATATGTAGTTGAAAAAATGATTGTAGTAGAGGGGAAAACAGATAGAATGGAGTACCCTTTTAAGTGTCTCTAAGGAATGTTACCTGCTCAGCTTTACCATCAACTTCTTGTATTCATCTTTTAGGCTGTATTGCTCTCATTTTTTTACTATCACAGAGTCAAAGTCCAGCCTCCAACCCAGAGAAGGGAGTTCAGGATATACTGAGAAAAGACTTGCTTCAGTCTCAAATGGGAGGGCCGAATTCTAAAATTGAGAACTGAGTTCTCAGCTCAGACCTAAACATTGTAGGATATGTTGTAAACTGGCTGCTCTTCTTTGAGAGGAGAGCAAGAATGAGAATTAAGCTTGGATATTTGAACTGCAAAAATCTGATGTACAGATATGAAGTCAGGAGTAAAAATGGAAAAAAGGACTTTCTGAAATTGGAAAATACATTAAATCTTATGACATTTGGAAGTTGTCTGAATTAGTGGCTACCTGACACCAGCAGTTCCTCCATTGCACAGTGATGCTGCACATTGTTTATGTTGGCAGGAGAGCTGAGCCTCAGAAAGCTCCAGGATGGGCCACATTACCCAGGAGAGATGGGGCCTCTAGTAAGCCAGATACTGCTCCCTTGACAATTACTTTCCAGGCAACTCTGGCCATCTTTTAAAAGCACACATACACTTGTCTCATGTTCCATATATCTACTGAAGCCAGAGAAGCCACCAACCAGTACCTACTCCTGTTGCTCTACTTGCCTGTAAAATCTCCTATTCTAGTAGGGATATTTAGAACAGCTAAATGGGTAGGAGACATTTTAGAACTCTCATTGCTGCATCATCATAAAAATAAACTCCCACAATGCTTGTGCTACTATTGAACCTAGATATCATGCAAGCAGGTTACTGCTGTAGATTCCATGTGCTCAGTTTTAAATAAAGTTCGATGTGCTCCTGAGAAGAAGGTATATTCTTCTGTGTTTGGCTGAAATGTTCCTTGAACATTGGCTAGGTCCATCTGATGTATGACATTATTTATTTCCAGCATTTCTCAGTTCATTGTTTATCTAGATGACATATCTATTGATATGTGTAAGACATTGATAAGTGTATGGCATTAATGTCTTGAACTATCACTGCATGAGTCAATATATGCTTTTCCCTGTGACATTATTTTGGATTTGACCTTGAGGGCCTTTGTACTTGGAGCATGAATTTTTAGCTTTACAGTATTATAGCATTATTTGTAATAATTATTGTAGCATTATTTTCTTTGGTAGTTACATATTTCCTTCTGTATTTCTTCTGATTTGTATTAGTTTGAATTTTATTTTTGTCAATATGAAAATGTCTATACCAGCTTACTTCATGTGTCAATTTGGTGAAAATATATTTTTTTCCAACCTACCCTGAGATGGTGTCTATCCTTGATACTAAATTGAGTTTCTTAAATTCCACAGAAAGGTGGATACTACACACTTCATAGCATTATGCCTCTGGTCTTAAGGTGGCAGGGTTGTGTGGAACCTGTCTTCTTAGAGAGTAAGATTTGTCTAGACCCCTGGACTTTGTTACAAGGAGCGTAGCCTTCTTCTAATGGTCCCCTTTCAAATATAATATACCATATTGCTTATTCTTCTTTAAAATCATTTTATTTATTTACCTTCTAGTTTTTCCTCACCCCACAGTCAGCCCTTCCACAGTTCCTCATTTTATTACTCCTACCCTTGTCTCTAAGAGGGTGCTCTCCTGCTACCTGGCCTCCCCCTTCCCTGGGGCCTCAGATCTCTCAAAGATTAAGTGCATCTTCTTACACTGAGGCCATACTAGGCAGACCTCTACTACTATGTGTCAGAGGCCAGGGACCAGCTCGTGTATGCTTCTGGTTTGTAGTTTAGTCTATGGGGACTCTCTGGGATCTAGGTTAGTTGAGACTGCTTGTCTTCCTATGGGGTTGTTCTCCCTTTGAGCTTCCTTAATCCTTTCTCTAATTCAACCATAGAGGTTCCTGACTTCAGTCCAATGGTTGGGTGTAACTATCTGCTTCTGTCTCAGTCAGCTGTTGGTGGGCCTCTCAGAGGACAGCCATGCCAAGCTCCTGTCCATAAGTTCATTATGGCATAGTAGTATCAAGCCTTGGTGTCTTTTCATGAGATGGATCCCAAGTTGGCTGGCTGGTCATTGGACCTTTCCTTCAGTTTCTTCTCTATTTTTGTCCTTGCAGTTCTTTTATACAGGAACAATTCTGGGTCAGGGATTTTGATAGTGGGTTAGTAACACTGTACCTCCACTTGAGGCCCTGTCTGTCTACTGGAGGTGGACTCTTTGAGTTCTTTTTTCCCCAATGTTGATCATTTTGGCAAAGATCATCCCAATGAATCCTGAGAGTGTCTCACTTTTTGGGTCTCTGATCTTTTTTTTTTTTTTTTTTTGAGACAGGGTTTCTCTGTGTAGTTCTGGCTGTCCTAGAACTCACTCTGTAGACCAGGCTGGCCTCGAACTCAGAAATCCGCCTGCCTCTGCCTCCCAAGTGCTGGGTTTACAGGCGTGCATCTGATACTTTCTAGAGGGTTCCTTCACCTCCTGTCGGGCGCCGTCTGCGAGCCGGTCTCAGGGAGGTGTGGGGAGGGGGCGGGCTCGAACAAGCGCACTGCAAGAGTGGGCAGAGATGTCCCGGGGGAGCGGCGGGTGGCGGCCGGCAGGAGACGCAGGACAGGAGCCGGCGCGGGTTGCCGCATGAGCGGCCTGCGTCCGGTACACCACAGCTCAAGGAGAGTGGGTGGGGCGTGTAACGCGGGCTCTGAGACTGTCTGGAAAGCCGCAGGTGCAGTGGCGCAAGACTCTGGTGGGAGCAAGCGAGAGCGCGGCTGCGAGCTGGGGCACAGTGTCCCAGCCTCCAAACGCGGGCAAGTGTTACTGGCTCTTTCCCTGTTTTAGTTGCACGAAGTGAAAATCATACTTACTACATTCTGCTATGTTTACTTTACCTTAAGATTAAAGCTTCTCTGGTCCCAGGATTAAATTAATGTCTCCCAGGTTTTTTACAGAATGAATTCTGAGCTTCTCTTTTAATTTCTGTCCCATGTTTAGCCTGCTAAAAGAAGCCCATGTGTTTGAGACACTGTTCATTGCCCTCATTAACAGTAGCTTTACAGATGGGAGATACTGAACAAATTTAGCCCCAATTTTTCTCTTTTATTTTAAAATTTCCTTTTTCTTGTCTCCATCCTTACTTTCTTTTTGTTTTTTTTTTGCATATTTTCTTACTCTTTGTTTCTTTTCTTGTTGTGTTTTCTGAGCATATTTTATCATTTCCCTAGGACTGTCTATCAGAAATAGCTCTCCTAAAGTTTCTGCAAAAGCTAACTAATATAAATATGTCTTAGATTTTAGACCAATGTTGCCATTAGAGGACCTAGTGCATCTTTTAGTGATTGCTTATACTCTCTATGATGGTATTTTTGGTTGTTGATTGACACCAGCTACTCTTGTACCCATTGCCCAAGTTTTTGATTTTGTATTGCTGACTGCTTTGCATGGGCCCCTCCAGGCTCACCCAGATGCTCACAATTTATAAACCAGTGAGAACTTAGCAGCATTAGACAGGCAGGCAGAGCAAGATGGAGTCACAGGCCCAGGTCCTCCTGTTGCTGCTGCTCTGTGTGTCTGGTGGGAAGTTCAAAATTATTATTATCATTTTAGAATCACATCTATTTATATAATAAATTTACAATGTGTTCTAGGGCACAATATTTCTTTCATAAGAATTCTCTGACAACATGACATTACAAGAATATTCAATGACCAATTTCAACAGTCATATCGTAATCTGTGTTTGTATCTGTATACATGTTCTCTGCATGCTCATTATTCCAGGTATCTGTCAGGACATTGTGGTAACCCAGTCTCCATCCTCCCTGGCTGTGTCAGCAGGAGAGAATGTCTATATAGCTGCAAATCTTTTATGGAGTGTAAATCAGAAGAACCACTTGGCCTGGTACCAGCAGAAACCAGGGATGTCTCCTAAACTGCTGATCTACTATGCATCCACTAGGGAATCTGGGGTCCCTGACTGCTTCATGGGCAGTGGATCTGGGATGGATTTCACTCTCACCATCAGCAGTGTGCAGGATGAAGACCTGGCACTTTATTTCTATCAGCAGCATTATAACTCTTCTCCCATAGTGCTTTAGCCTCCTACACAAACCTCCTTGAGAGTCTCACCAGCTGCCTATGCCCATACAGCCCTGAGCCTGCACATTTCCTTCATCTGCATGAGAATCCATGCGCCTGAAACACTCATAAAAATTTGCAGACCCCAGCAAAACAATAGGTTCAACACTTTTTGGTATGAAAAGTCTTTGCATGAAAAATTTAAAACATAGCTCAATATTATTTTTCTGTTCCTTCTGTAACACATTACCATAAACTCTTTTCTTTGACTATGAGAAATTTATTTTTTTTAATAGTTCTGGTATTCACCATTATACTCTATGGGCTAATGTGCTGGTGTTGACAGGGAGCCCTATAGTTCAGAGGCTCTAGGAAACAATGCTTCTTGCTTTGTCTAGCCTCTAGAGTACTTTCCTACTTCATTATGGTATATACTTATTTTTTTCTTTTTCATAAATTCTTTTACTTTTTATTACATTTTGGTTAATTACATTTTTGCATTTAATTACAGGTTTTTTCGTGTATACATTTATAGGTACATGATTGTCATGGCATATTTGTGGGTGTTAGAGGACAACTTGGACTTTATTTTTCTCTTTGTGTCATATAGGTTATTGGGATCTATTGCAGGTCCAATGTCAATGCTTTGCTGAAAGAGTTTTTGCACTCTGAGAAATCCTGCTGTCTCTTAAGTTCCTTACTAATGTATATTATTTGTATACAAGTGTCATAAAAGAGGTGTCTTTCAAGTATGCCTCATATTTTGTTCACATCTTCTAACCCTCCCCAGTTTATCTTCCCTTTCTTGCTGTTATTATTTTTAAAAATTGTACTCTGTGTTCTACTTTTGTCATACACATATGAATACATATACATAAATACACATACTTATACTCTTTGTACATACAAATCACCCACACTGATATACATACATTCACATACACATACACATACATGATCATGTACACATACAGAGATACACCCATATATACTTTTACATGTACACACAAAACTTAACATACAACAAATTTAAGATTCACAAAGAAGATAAAAAGTGATATTTTTGGTCCCTATTTCTGGGGTCACATTTTGTTTTGAAGTCCTCTTATATAGTTTGCAACTGTGAGGACTGAAAATCATCCATACACTCTAATTTTAGATATTTTGTGTTGGTGTATAGAAGCTTCCATCTTTTACATTGGATATCAATTAATAGAATTTAATGTTTTTAAAAGACAATATTTTGTGCTACAGTGTAAACAAGACACTAGCTAATTCCATTAATAGTCTCTAAGAAACTTATTGAATACCTATTTTGGAGATACAACAGGTAAAAGCTGTGTTATAGACTACATAAATTGGTGGAGATCTCCAAATATCTTAAAGCTGTCTGCTTAAGAATTAGTATGTAAAAACTTGCAGGATATGGCCATGCTTAGGTAGATAGCCATTTCTGGTGTTTCCCAAAGAAAATTTTGAAGTGGTGTATGTAGTTTTTTCTTCACTGTGACAAGCTTGAGGAAAACACCTTAGAAAGCAAAGATTTATTTTAGCTTACAGTTTCTGTTTTAGGCCAAGGTATGTTGGCATCTTTGCTGTGGATGCAAATGACTTTGAATATCATTTAGGAAGCAAATCCAAGGGAAAGATGCTTATTTCAGGCAGCTGAGAAACAGGAAGGTAGAAAGACATCAGAAGTCTTTAGAAGCATTTCTCTCAATTATTAATAATGACAGATCTCTTACTTTGCACCATTTCCCATTAATGCCATTTAATTATGGATCATCAATAGATGGATCCAATGGTTGATTCAGAGCCCTCAAGATTCAGTCACATTCAAAGGTTGAATTCATAAGCTGGAAACAAAATATTTTACTTGGGAACCTTTGACTAACTCTGTAGAAAGAAACTATAATACAAAAAAAGAGGAAGAAGAAGAAGAGGAGGAGGAGGGGGAGACAGAAGAAGAAGAAGAAGAAGAGGAGGAGGAGGGG